ATCAGAGATGGTCATTTGCCCGCGACCAGTCGTTGGTCTTCAAATAGCGGTTGGCTGCAACTTTGAAGTGTTGCAAGTTCTTGGTGCAGAAAGGACCAGAGAAGACTCCGGCGGGCAGCTGGTTCCAGACGGGGACAATTGCGTGAGGGTAGGCTCGACACAGGTTGTTTCGGGAACGGACTGGAAGTTCATTGGCCAGTTGGTGTGCATGAGCATTACATCTCTGGAATGTACTACGGGTGGAGTGGACTGTTCGGTGTTGGGGCTGCTGGGGTGGCAGCATCCTCTGTAAAAGGGGATGCGCATCCGGACAATGCATCTTGTAGAGGAGGCAAAGTGCTGCAACCATCCGACGAAGAGCAAGACTCGGCAGCCAACACATTGGGGCTATGGCACGGATGGCCCGGGCTTGCACACGGTCGAGTCTTGCAAGATGGGATGGGGCCGCTCCCATCCAGACAATAGGGCAGTACTCCATCACTGGGCGCACAAAAGCATTGTAGGCTTGGATGCGACCGGGCACGTCTAGGAGGTGGAAAGCCTTACGCAAAGCACCAAGTCGCTGTGTTGCCCGGAGGGCTACGGTACGAAGGTGGCGCCGGAAGGTAAGCTGACCATCGAAACTGATGCCCAAGATTTTGAGCTCCTCCTGTTCCGTCACATTTGATCCGTTAAAGTCAATCGGTGGCATGTCCCAGGTGGTGCGGTGGAAACTGACAGTCAGTGCCTGGGATTTGGCTGGTTCATATTTTATTTTCCATTCTTGACCCCAGCGGGAGATGCTGTTGACTGCTAGCTGGAGGGCTCGGGTGGTATCTTCTTGGGTGGTGGGGGTGATGTTGGCATACAGCGTAGTGTCGTCTGCGAACGAGGCTAGGTCAGCACCGGCTGGTACGTGGTCCTCGCAGTCGTTCACGTACATGAGGAAGAGAGTCGGACCCAGAATACTGCCCTGGGGGACTCCAGCCTGAATTGGGAGCCTTGAGGATGTCTGGCCACAAATGACCACTTGAAGGTAGCGTTCACTGAGGTAGCTGCTGAGCCACTGGTGCAGTTGCCCACGCAGGCCGTATACGTCGGACTTGTGTAGCACACCGGGGTGTGATACGCGATCAAACGCACCGGCGATGTCAATGGCGAGTATGCTTGCTACGCCTTTCTCCCCGGCTGTATGCAGCCACTGGTGGTGGAGGCTGGTAAGGAGGTCGGCTGCACTATGACCATGGCGAAATCCAAACTGTCTGGTGGAGAAGACGTTGTTCGACTCGAGGAAATTTGTGATTGTTCTGTTGATGATTGTCTCCATCACCTTGGACAGAATACACAAGAGCGAAACTGGACGGTAATTGGAGGGTAGAGACTTTGATTTCCGTTTGAATATAGGGACTATGTTGGCAATCTTCCATGTCTTGGGCTGTACTCCAGTTTGGAAGCATTGGGTGAACAGTACGGAAAGCGGTTGCGCCAGTTCAGCAGAGCAGGCTTTCAACACTCGTGCCGGTATCCTATCCGGCCCGGTTGCCTTTGATGGGTTAAGCTGGCGAAGGGTGCATTCAACAGCAGCGACACGGAAACGGACGTCCGAAAGAGCCTGGTCAGTCCGAGGTCTGACATATGGGAATGGGGCTGACAGGTCATCTTGTCCGAGACTGCATTTGCTTGCAAAATAGCGGGCCATGCATTCTGCTTTGTCTGCGCTGGCTGTGTACTCACGTCCATCGGGATCACGTAATGTCGGAACAGATTGACTACGCCCATTGCCAGAGGCACGCTTGACGGTGCGCCACCAGTCACTGGGTGGCAGCTGCTTTGAGGTCATTTTCAGTCTCAGTTTCGCCATGAAAGCACTCTTGGCAGTTTTGAGACAGGCAATCGTTGAGAGCCGTGCATCTTGGTAGGCTGACTGCCGATCGTCGTCAGACTGGTCGTCTCTCAGGCACCTCCATGCACGTCGTTTCCTCACTGTGGCAGCAGTGCACTCAAGGGTCCACCATGGAGGATCTGATGCTCGGGGTTTCAGAATTTTAGAGGAGATGAATCCCTTCATACCCTCCAGGATACTCTCTGAGATGCCAGTGCATGACAGGTGTGGATCTGTCCGAGCAATAGCTGCCCAATTGGTGGTTCTGAAGAAGTGACGGAGCCTGGCCCAATCAGCATGCTGATACCTCCATACTGTTCTTGATATGGGAGGCTCGCGTGATGCCTGGATCTGGAAGTCAGCAAGTATACAGGCATGGTCAGATTTGCCAAGAGGTGGTAAGACAGTAGCCAATGATTCTACGGGTAGGTCGGACATAATCAGGTCCAGTGTGTTGCGGCCACGCGTTGGTTGGTCAACTAGCTGCTCAAGACCGTGCATGTAGCACATGTCCTCTGCATGCTCGCCGGCTCTAGTTGTTCTGCTACTGTGGAGCCACTCTTGGTTATGTACATTGAAGTCTCAAGCAACTATCACAGCAGAGTTGCGGCAGGCTGTGGAGGTGAGGCCCCTGCAGATCACGTCGAAGATGCTGGTGTCTGTGTCTGAGCACGTTCCAGGACGGTATGCAGCACATATAGCCACAGGCCGGCCAGTTGACAGTTTGACGTTTAGCCATACTAGCTCCTGGCCGAAGACATCAATGGTATCCAGTTCGTTCATGGCTAGCGTGGCCTTCACCCAAACTGCCACCCCGCCACCATGGCGGTTTCGATCGCGTCTCAGAGGCTGGTAGTAGCCAGGGAGTGTCAACTCTGCTTGAGTCACAGCCTCTGACGGCTTAGACTCTGTTACTATGGCAACATCCGGGGATTCAGCATGGAGCACATGGCGGAATTCATCTAACTTACTCATTAGCCCAAAGGCATTTGTTACGAACAGTTTCAGGGTTTGTTGGTCATTACCGGCTTAGGGGTGCAAACGCATTGCCAACTGAGAAAGAGTACTTGGCTGCTTGGTCTGCAGGTGGTGAATCTCGCTGGTGGGAGCGAGCTTTCATCCCTGGAGTCCGACTCGAGGTACCTGCATCGGCAGAGCTTCCATCCTCACTGACCTTTCATCTGCACTGCTTGCGTTGCCAGTGGTGTTTGGCTGTGGTGCGGAAGATTCTGCGGTGCTGCTGCTGTTGCTGCTGCTGTTGCTGCTGCTGTTGTCGCTGCAGCTGCTGTTGCTGCTTTTGTCGCTGCTGCTGCTGCTGTTGCTGCTGCTGCTGTTGCTGCTGCTGTCGCTGCTGCTGTTGTCGTTGCTGCTGCTGCTGTTTTCGCTGTTGCTGCTGCGGTTTCCGCCAGAGTTTTTGAAGAAGCGCCACGGTCGGCAGTACAAAGGCCTAGGCCAGAAGTTGGGGGCGGTCACAATAGGCATGGAGGTGGCATCTACAGTGACTCTGGCTGATACTCGTCCTCTCTCTCCTACATGTACACTGCAGGTGTGCACGGGAATGGAAGATCCTGACATTGCCTGTTCGCTTCTGTCCATGATGAACTGTTTCAGGCGGTCCTCTGTGCAATCTGGGGAGATGTTGCCCACATAGGCAACAGAGCGCTTGGTCTTGGGGGATCCTGCAGATACCAACTTCCAAGAGTCGTCCGTGGTGGTGCTGAACACAGGCTTGGAGTTCTTGACTGGCAGGAGTTCAGTGCCCTCTGCGTCAGAGTACATGACATAGTACTCCGTTTCCGTGTCCACTGAGCATGAGGGCACCGTCTTGCCTGCGTGCCAGGGTGTGGCAGCGCTACGGGTACGGGGTTCAGTGTGCGTTCCCACGTGTTCTGCCTGCTGCTTTGACTTTTTTTCACTATTTGGTGCGCGGCTTAGACTTTCCAGTTAGCGTACGGGTACTATTCGTACTACTAGCTGCACTCTCCTTGACCTCCTCGCTTTTTTGTTGCTGTTGGTCGACATGGGCAATGGCGGTCTGCCTCAAGGAGCTCAGTTCGCCTCGTAATTCTGAAACGTGTGCACATAGCTCATCCACACGCTGTTTCACGCGCTCTTCTCTATCTCTAGACTCACTAACATACGACGACAATTGCTGGATCAAGCTGATGACATTGGCTTCGATGCCTGGGAGACTGCACAGAAGTCTCAGGGGCTCACCTGCCAGCTCGTCCATGGCGGAGAGTAGGTCAGGGAGTGACAGCTACTCAAAATATCACCTACTCTACACTAAGCTACGATTCTACACTACGACTGCTAAGCCTCCACTCCGGCCTGATGCCGAGTGGGCTGCCAAAAAACGACGAAAGCCTACGGAGCTCAAAAAACTCAAACCTGCCACATCAGGGATATCTTTGCATGTCATAAGTGGAAGCTGTGGCATTAGTAACAAAATAATAATATATGGCTAGTGGAAAACATACATACACGCCCAAGATTCTGTATCCCTGTCAGCGCGACCCTTCACCTGGTCTAATGAAGGAGAATCCCATGAGAGGGAGAGGCTTTCTAAACGCGTTGCAGCTGCTCCCAGAGGAAGCCACTAGTGCCATCAAGGTTATTACGGTCCGTCAGTGTTAACTATCAGTAGTATAATTATTTTACCTTTCCTTTCTTATTACTTACTGCACTTGCTCTTAATCCCCATGCTAATCCCTTTTTCCATCGTGCTACTATGCAAGTTGGAAGGCTCTTGCGCACTGGAGGTGTGTTAGAGCTAGGTCTCAGGTCGTTGAAAGTCTCAGTAGCATATTCGGCTTGTGACCTGCTATCGCACTTTCTGACTGCTTATTATCTTGTTACAGTCGTGGATTGTTGCTTCATTACTCGTTTCCTTGTGTGTTCCTCTTCTATTGTCCATACCAGTATTATGATTGTTTTATACCTGGCTGACTGTATGGGGGTTTGAATATAGAACGTGATCAATTTAATAGCAACATCAAATCAAACGTGGGCTTGGGTACACACAATAGTGACCATACATGTTTGGTTGAGGTGGCCTAGGGAATATACTAGTCACACACGAGGAGGTGAGAAGCGAAAACATTACTTAAACATTACTTCCATTATGTATGTCACTTACCCTTGTTGTCGCATCCGCAGTTGCGGGAAACAGAAAATGCGTGTTGTCGTACTCATCTTCATCTGCTGCCGGTCCAAAAGAAGGTCCCACTGCACAACAGCAATTTTCATCTTGGACTGGTTGAGGTGGCTGCAGTTAACAATAATGACAAAGAAGAACACAACCGTTTCGTCAGGATTTAGCTAGCAACGTGTCTATCAAACAAATTATTGTGTTATTACTTCCATTTCTGTCCATTTTCTAAACTCAGGTATCCTGATGATCGAAACAGCTGCTGTCTGAAGGAGCAGAGTACCAACTGAAGTGTCGTTTTGCTGATGGTGTGCTGCGGCAACGTGTTAAGGTCGGCCGGAGAGCGCAGCGGTGTGGTGTGGCGGTTGATAAAAATCTGGACAATTCCGAATGCTGCTACTTACCCCTCTTGATCACATATCTGAACGGAAATCGTTGTAGGTTATTGAAGTAACATCTGCAATGTAACTCGATACAGACTCCGACTTGATCAGACCAATTCAGGAACCATTATGTTTTGCTGCAAACGTTAATTCAGAGCACCTGGTAACTTACCTCAACAAGGAGGCCAATGTTGTCATAATGATTCTCGTCTCCACCTGTTTCCTCAGTTGACCTGGAGCCTAATTTGGAGGTTGATTCTCTGGTGTATATGTTCTGGGTCCTCTGTTCCTGCCGATTCTGGACACACAGCAGGGGAAACACGAGGCATATGCATACGGACAACACATTCACACAAGCACACACACACGCACCTTTTTTCTACAACCATACGCCATTTTCCTCATCTAGAGCTAGTTCAAAACAGTCAGAAATATATCAGCGTGCTGTATATCATTGTTGATATTGTAAATCCATCTGAGATGGGGTCGGCCACTTTGGCGTTTGATGTCCCCGGTATTCTTAAGTGCTTGGTAAGACGCTAAGTCAGGTCTTTCACGAACAACATGGCACAGCCAGATAACTCGATGTCTACAGCAAATAATGCTGACTGTGTCTTGTTGTGTTGAAGAGTGCACCGTGGCATTGGAAATGTGGTGAGAGTACCCAACACCAAGCAGGTTCCGCAATTTCCGTCAATGCCATACGGCCAGCCGAGTACTGAGTTGCTGTGTCAGTGACCACATTTCGCAGTTATACAACAGAATAGGCAGGATGAGGGCAAAGAACATACAGAGTCGGGAGGTCAGTATATGACGCGAAATGGCACCGAACCCTCTATTCGGAGCACCCATTACAAGTACTTCCTGATTATCCTCTGCGGATCCTATAAAAGAGCCAAGCAGCTTGACAGGTCGCCAAGATAAGTCGGCTCTTTTTTGTGTTTTGTAGTTACTTTAATGATTATGATATTATTGTGTTTACTGAATATTTAACATTAAGTTCAGGTCAAAATCCACCACCTATGCCAGCTTGCTGCAAGGTGGGAGCACGCATGCTAACCCCATCACGGCCTCCCAGCGGCCCATCCCCCCCCCCCCCCCCCCCCGGTCACCCTTGGACCTGACCTGCGCCAACAGCAGATGCCAGCCCCAGAACAACAGGCACAGCAGCCACCACGTGGGAAGAAGGCATCTAAGGCATCTAAGGTACCAGTCCCCACAAAAACAGCTTCGCAGAAGGCTCAACCATCAGCTGCCAACCCAGGGATTCCTGCTTTGCCTGCTCTTTCACGTGGCAAAGCAGCCCACATGTCCCCGGACGACGAGGGCTTCACCACGTACAAATGCACTGACTGTGGACAGTTGTGACTTTTTCAGCTCCGTAGTGTTTGACAGCCCAGCTGGCAACAGGCCGGTCTGGAAGTAGGACAGTAGTATTAGTGGCAGTGTAGGTTAGCGTAGTGTAGGGGTGTAGGAGTGTAAAGCAGACATAGTATCAGGGAGAACGTCTTCGAACTCGCAGGAGAGCCTGCGATGAAACTGCTCTGCTACCTCCCGGGTATAGAGCACACTCTGCCCAGCGTGCTGCAGACCCTGACCTCTCATATCAGCGAGTCGAGATAGTGCGGCTTTCCACCCTCAATGCTATGGTGTAACTGGTCCACTTCTCGCTTAGCTGAGGGAATACCTGACTGATCGTCATATGAGGGTAGCAGTTGGAGGTGAACTTTCCAGTGCGTACCCGACCAAAGCTGGCGTGCCGCAGGGCACTATCCTTGGTCCCACCCTGTTCATCCTCTACACCAATGATGGCGAGGACCACCTCCCACCAGATATGGAGCTAGCAGCCTACGCAGACGACACCACTCTCTTCCACTGCCTCACATCAAGAGCTGACATTGATTGTGGCTCCGACCTCCTCCAGCAGGTCATTGATGCGTTTTCCCGTTGGGGACATAAGTAGAGGATCAAATGTGAGCCCTCCAAGACGCAGTCTATGTCTATAGGCCACCATCGCCATCCCTGGCAGCTCACTGGAGCAATATTTGACGGCACACCGGTCAGTGAAGGAAGTCGGCTGAAACTACTGCGAGTCACCTTTGACGACACCCTTATCTACTTCTTCCACCTCCGATCCCAAGCTTCCCGTGCTAACCAGCGGATTGGCTTCCTGAAGCGAGTGTCTCCCATTCTGGACGCCGAGAGCCGCCAATGCGTCTACAACGGCTTTGTGCGACCCACACTCGGGTATTGCCCCTTAGTGTGGTTGGGCTCATCCTCGTTCCATCTTAAGAAGCTGGACCAGATAAAGCGAAGGGCCCTCCACATCATCGAAGCAGGTACTTGGCTCCATAGCCTGGCACTCAGTCGCCTGGTAGCTGCACTTGCCTATACCTACAAGCTCTGCTATCTGGATGCACCCATCCTCTGAAGCAGAAGCTGCCTTAACCAGCCACTCACCGTGCCCCCGAGACAACACCTACCCGTCAGTTTCTCCAGCTGCAGGATTCCCATCCATACCAGATGACAACTGGCCTGCCTGCCAACACCCAGAACAGCGGCCTCCAAGGATTCCCTGCTTGCACCGTTGCAACGTGGAATGCCCTGCCACCAGACCTGTTCCACCACCCACCCTCCCAGCCCCACATGCAAAGCTTCAATAAAAAGGTCTACCGCCACCTTCTTGCTCAGGACTGGCTCTCTGCTACTGATGCAATTTGAATCTGCTCGCCAACGCTTTCCCTGTTCTTGTTAGTGTTCAGCTGCTTACCTTATAACCCTGCTGCTGTCATCACCAATATAATCTGATTCTCATGCACATGTCCCAGAACCTACTAACCTTCGCAGTCCCCATCACCAAGAGCACTGTGCTCTTCTATCTCCCAGCTCTCTCTCTCTCTACCTCTCCCTCTCTTCCTTTCCCTATCTCTCTCTCTCTCTCTCTCTCTCTGTCTTTCTATCTATCTATCTATCTATCTCTATCTCTCTCGATATCTCGATATCGATCTCTGTCTCGATCTCTCTCTCTGTCTCGATCTCTCTCTCTCGATCTCTCTCTCTCTCGATCTCTCGATCTCTCTCGATCTATCGATCTCTCTCGATCTATCGATCTCTCGAGATCTCTCTCTCTCTCTCTCTCTCGATCTCTCTCTTTCTTCTCGTCTTCTCCTCCGGTGGAGCACATCAGACCCCGTCACCACGTCCACGATTCATGCCTGCGATGCTGCACCGCTGCTTTGCATGTCATGAGTGGAAGATGTGGCATTAGTAAAAAAAAATGGCTAGTGGAAAACATACATACACGTCCAAGATTCTGTATCCGCGTCAGCGCGACCCTTCACCAGATCCACAGGTCACCTGGGTTAATGAAGCAGAAGCACGTCAGAGGGAGAGGCTTTCCAAACGCGTTGCAGCTGCCCCCAGAGGAAGCCACTAGTAGAATCAAGGTAGTTACGGTCCGTCAGTGTTAACTATAAGTAGTATAATTATGTTACCTTTCCTTTCTTATTACTTACTGCACTTGCTCTTAATCCCCATGCTAATCCCTTTTTCCACCGTGCTACTATGCAAGTTGAAAGGCTCTTGCGCACTGGAGATGTGTTAGAGATATGTCTCAGGTCGTTGAAAGTCTCAGTAGCATATCCGTCTTGTGACCTGCTATAGCACTTTCTGACTGCTTATTATCTTGTTACAGTCGTAAATTGTTGCTTCATAACTCGTTTCCTTGTCTTTTATATTCTATTTTCCATTCCATTATTATGATTGTTTTATACCTGGCTGGCTGTATGAGGGTTTGAATATAGAACGTGATCAATTTAATAGCAACATCAAATCAAACGTGGGCTTGGGTACACACAATAGTGACTATACATGTTTGGTTGAGGTGGCCTAGGGAATAAACAGTTACTAGTTACACACAAGGAGGTGAGAAGCGAAAACATTACTTAAACATAACTTCCATTCTGAATGTCACTTACGCTTGTTGTCGCATCCTCAGTTGCGGGATACAGAAAATGCGTGTTGTCGTACTCATCTTCATCTGCTGCCGGTCCAAAAGAAGGTCCCAGTGCACAACAGTTATTTTCATCTCGGACTGGTTGAGGTGGCTGCAGTTACCAAAAATGACAAAGAAGAACACAACCGTTTCGTCAGGATTTAGCTAGTAACGTGTCTATCAATCAACTTATTGAGTCATTACTTCCATTTCTTGTCCATTTTCTAAATTCACATAATTGAACGTAATAATTCTAGGTTATTGAAGTAACATCTGCAATGTAACTCGATACAGTCTCCCACGTGTTCGGACCAATTCAGAAACCCTTATGTTGTGCTGCAAACGTCAATTCAGAGCTCCTGGCAACCTACCTCGGCAAGGGGGCCAATGTTGTCATAATGATCCTCGTCTCCACCTGATTCCTCAGCTGACCTTGAGCCTATTTTGGAGGTTGATTCTCTGGTGTATACGTTCTGTGTCCCCTGTTCCTGCCGAGTCTGGAAACACAGCAAAGGAAACATTAGGCATATTCGTACGGACAATACATCCACACAAGCAGCGATACCCACACACACACACACACGCACACACACACGCGCTTACTCACGTACACAGACACACACACATACACGCGCGCAAACACCTGCATACTCCCGTAGAATGCAAATAGCATTAATAATAGTTACAGTTCGCATATCACTCATGGAAGGATCCATGGGCTTAACACATCTGTCAATGAAATCCAGGCAGAAGAGCCAACAAAAGGCATCTCAGTATTGTTAGAAAGTAGCAGAGAACAACCTGGCAAGCGCAGCACCTTTTACCACAAGCCATTTTTCTCATCTAATGCCAGTTCAAAGCAGTCAGAAATATCAGTATCAGCGTGCTCTATATCATTTTTGATATTGTAAATCCATCTGAGATGGGGTCGGCCACTTTGGCGTTTGATGTCCCGAGCCAAGGAAAAATTCGAACATTGAAAAATGCGGGCTAAAGTTAGGTGATCGAGTCCATCAAGCACCAACTAAACCAGATTTTGAACAGTCAGACGTGAACAATCTAGCACAAAACTGACAAGGAGAACTGATCCACAGCATGAATGCCCTTCCAACTCGGAAGCTTCATGGATATCAGTGATAATTCCAAAGAGGGGAAGCCAAGCGCCATCGAGCCGAGCACAAGCTATGCATTCCAATACTTCATGGAATGCTGGCCTGACTATTCAAAATCTGGTTTATTCCCGTAGCTATGCAAAGGACGTTACGTCAGTAACGTCTGGCTGTCCCGTACCGTACCATCAAGGACAGCATCAGCATGCCTGGCGCTATCCCGTACCTGTCCCGTTCCTTGTTGTTGTTGTTGTTGTTTGGCTTTATTTAAAGTGGAGTTCCAAAACAGGCCTAAACCTAATGACAATGGTCCCACTGATAATAAGAGAAAAGAAAAATATATAATAATAAGCGGACAAACAGAACCAAGAAGAGGATACAGCTGTAGTTAGATAACCAATATGAGCACGGCAGCAGGGGAAAAAAAGTCACAAGCACGGCAACCGGGAAGAAAGGAGTGAGTGAGTGAGTGAGAGAGAGAGAGAGAGAGAGAGAGAGAGAGAGAGAGAGAGAGAGAGAGAGAGAGAGAGAGAGAGAGAGAGAGAGAGAGAGAGAGAGAGAGAGAGAGAGAGAGAGAGAGAGAGAGAGAGAGAGAGAGAGAGAGAGAGAGAGAGCGAGAGAGAGAGAGAGAGAGGGAGAGAGAGAGGTAGTGAAGCAGATGAGTTCATCCTAGTTGACGACTTCCTTACCATCAAAGACAGCTGGCCACAATATTATTATTTATTTATTTATTATTTATTCCAACATCTCAAGACTCGGCGGAAACACCGGCCAATGTTACGAGAGCGGGTGATTGCCAACCACGGCGATAAATAGAAATAAGGGGAGGGAAGAAGAAATATTCAAATAGGGCTTTCAAATGCAGCGCGCCGCTCACCAGCTCTGAGTAGGTGGAAACGGCTAGCTGTTTGGAGATTGAATGCAATTTTCTCTATGATTTGTGTGATAAATTCATACCTTTCCAGGTCCTGATGATTTGATTTTCGGACGCACTGCAGTGGAGTTACCAATGACATCATATGTGTCCGTGAAACTTGTCTCATTCAGCAAGTCAGCCCCGATAGCGGCGTAGGAATCGTCAGGAACTGGAGATGGCTGGACAGTAGGAAAGGAACGTTGAGGCCGGCGCATTTAAGTAAAGGACAAGATGCTAACCAAAAGTGAAAACGTTTACAGCTTAGACATAATGAGGATTGCAAGCCAAGTTCGGAATAACTAATGACAAGTATGTACACTGGGCGGTTAATTTTGTCTCCATGTGCTCTTGCTAACTGCAATGTGAAAAGCGTTGTTTGGGAAGATCAACCCTATGGCGAGGTGTTATGACCTCACACACAAAAAAACAAGTAACACTGCTACCTTAGCAACAGCATTTGATTGCCCATTCTATGATCATCATAGTATTATGCAGCCTCACACGTTTGACTCAGTGAAAGAAAACGTTTTATTCTCACCTCATGGTTGTGCGAGCGTTCACTGCGAGAATTGCAAATCATTTCATTTCTTCCTGGGATTGAATGAAAAAGAAAGATGCCGGACAACTCATCAGGGCCCCGATGCAGATGCAAACCGGTGAAAAGAGACATCTATGAGATCTTTTTTGAAAGAAAAACTATTCATGATGAATTTGGGAAGAAGTCTCTGCATCTATAGTGCCACAGTCAAGTCATGTCAAATTGTTAACCTAACATTTCTGTTCCGTGCCCCTAGTGGGCTGCTACTACAGGGACAATCGAAAATTTCATATACAAACAATTATAAATATATAAGTCAAAGTAAAAGCATGTTCTAGTGGTTTTAAGGAGAGGACATTACATCATCACGTTCATGCTTACTCTTTTGTATCACTTTTATTCTAAACTCACCTCCTTGTTGCTTGGCAAGGCAATCGTTCATGGGTAACATGTCCTTCTTCCAGAGTATGACAGCAACAGTGACAAGAAGAACTCCAATTCCGATTGACGCACCTAATCCAACGAATGTGGAGCTTGACGATTTGCTTCCTGTTGAGCTTCCAACCTCGGCAGGTTCCATAGCCCCGGCGTCACGCTGTGGATCGATTACTTTTGTCGTTGTGTCTCCTGTACCATCAGAGTAAGATGTCCTCAATGTAAATGCTGCGAACCGAAGATGCCCATCACAAAATGGGGGTGATATACGATTGCAAGTCACAGTTCGCCCGAAATGCCCCATCAAATGCAATCTTTAATTTAAGTTTTGCTTTTAAGCTTGACAGCAGATATGCATGTTCTCTTAAAAGAGAACGTCCATATCTGCGGTCAAGGGCGCACTAAAACTCAGCAAACCCACATGCTTCCATTTATTTTGGCTGGATACACACGTTTTGACATAATTATGTAAATGAAAATTAATAGGGTTAGACTTCGCCAAATTTTGTCGCAAAATCACGATCCATGAAAAGCACTTTCTGTTGGGACAGTATGAGGAAGGTCTGAAAAGAACCTTTGCGTACGGTTACATCATTTGGATGGAGACTGCCCCACGAGGAGCTCCTTTGTCAGGTAAATTAATTTTTCATACAAGGTGCAACCATGTACGCGCGATTGTGGCGCAGAACGATATTATAATCAACAACGTGCAAGGCCATAGATAGGCAGAATGAAGATGTGCGGTTGACCTCCAAAAAGAACCTATGAACCTGAACCGTAAATGAGTGAAGCATTTCCTGTAAACACTCTTGGCTATACAATAATCTCGCAATCGATGGTGTTGCACCGTCAAGATGGACTATGCATGTTTTATTTTCATATTATTATTATTATTTTGCTTGTTCGCGTTGGCATCAACCTGCATAAAGCAGGTATATAGCCTTCGCTTAAGCTGCCATAAAAAAGAAAGCTCATCCTAAGCGAGAGCGCTAGAGGGAAATATAACGATAACGAGATACAGAATACAAAGAAATCCAATGAGTTCAACGTACAATTCAAAACAAGAAAGAAAGGAAAGAAAAACAGAGCCGAATCTACCGATTGATCCATCAATCGACAAAGGGGACTAATCCGTTAGTGTTGCAAAGTAGAAGCTGATTATAGTTGCAGATCTCCAGGCCAGGGCCAGCATATTGCCGATTCTGGATAGGTCTCCGCAGCATTTGATGTGGTAATTATCATAATGTTTGATAAAATTGTTAGAGTATCTAGTATCTAGAGTACCGAGTATCTAGTATCTAGAGTATCTAGTGTAATTGTATCCGTTATTATTGTTTTAAGGGTATCTAGTGTAATTATATCCGTTATTATTGTTAAGGGTATCTAGTGTAATTGTATAACTTCAGCCATTACACACAGCACACATTAGTTCCTTCCACTTTCGACGATCCTGGGCGAGCTGCCTCAGTGCAACTAGATCCTCGTGTGATGTGAGGGAGTCAACACGCGTTGCAGCAGACCATTCATGCCTAGACGAGTTCTACAACAGCTTGCTGGAAACAATTCAAAAACTAAGGTCTTCATCGCTGCTGTTCCTGATGGGAGACTTCAACGCAAAACTTGGGAAACGACCACCCAGTGACTGCCACTCCGTACCCTATGCTGGTTCAGACTTTGGCTGATTTCGCGTCCAGCAATTACCTATTTGCCTGTAACACGGCGTTTCAGCACCGTGCAGAACATATCACCACATGGACAGGCTGGCGCCACAACCCTAGTGGAGGTCCACCTTTACCCATTTACAACCAAATAGATTATATCCTTTGCCGTCACAGTGAAAGGTTTGTGGTGACGGATGCCAGATCATTTTCATATAATTATATTAAAATACGTCATGGAATTATGTCGTTACAAACTAAACTATTTTGCGTACATGCAGCATCAAGTTTAATGGTCTTGTACACGCACATTGAAATTCAAAATCCGTTATCATCACTTAACGTCTGTACATTTCCGCACGAAGCATGGTTCATTCCTTTTACCCACGCTGGAGCAATTCAAACCTCCATGCCGGGGTTCCAGCATTTTGCAAGAACGCTTCAGAGTGCGACTTCCAATCCCGCAGCTAGCTGAACAAGCACTCATATTTCGAGACCACTGCCGCTACCCACCTTTTACTGGACAGTAAAGTTTGCCACATCGTTGCTGTTGAGTAGAGTTTCCCAAGCAAGGCTTTCCACCGTAGGCTTTAACTGGCGAGTTGCACGATCGATTTCGGACTTGCGTTCCTTCACAGGTTGCGTTGCACTGGCTGTAAGGTGACCATTGCGACCAGTGACCATCCACAGGACAATTTGAAGTCCCGCATGCAAGTGTTTGAGAGTTGTTGCCCTGACATGGCTGCCCATTGTATGCTGGTCGAGGGTTTCTACAAGTCCTTGCTCTATTCTTGTGCCCCTCGCATGTGCCACTGCATGGCCCGTAAGCTGACCATGGGGACCACTTTCCGTCTACTGGACAATGTGTTGCACCGCAGGTTGCATCCTCAGTTGAACTTCCTGAACAATTACTACCTTGATACTCTGGTGCAGGGTTGGTGCATGATCGGAACCGACTCTTTTTTCCTTCGCATGTAGCACTGCATGCAGTGTATGATGACCAGGCTGACCATTTCCCATTCACTGGGCAGTGGGTAGCGCCGCATGTGTTAGTATAGGTTGCACCTCCAATACATTCTGTACCATTGAAAGCAGGGGATGGATTAGTGCATGATCGAGTACGTGTGTGGGTTCCCTGACATGTTTTACTGCATTGAGTATAGGATGACCAGGATGACCAAGCTCCGTCAATTGGACACTGGATAGGGCCACAGCTCCTTGTATCTGAAGATATCCCCGAACAGTCATACCCACCGTGGGCTGGGGAGGGGGACGTACACGTTCTCTTTCTAGTCTGCTGCGCACCGCCGCATGTTTTGCTACACTGGCTAAATGCTGACCATTGCGACCACTTGCCATTGATAGGACACGGGTTTGTTTGGCAGGATACGGTCTGGCGGTTTTGACCAGAGCACACACGACCTCCATGTGCTGGAGGTGGACTGTTGCAACTTCTCACACGAATTTGGTTTCCGCTTCCGCAACTTACTGAGCATGTGCCAATCGCTGTCCATGTTGACCACCTACCATCCACGGGACAACTGCAAGTCATAAGCTGCAGAGAGTCTCCAGTACACTGAGCTCCTCCATTGGATGGTGTTGGGTTAGTACAGGTGCGGTGGCGCTGTATTGAACATCTTCCTCCAGACACACCAAAACAATGGCCGTAGCTCGTCCAGCTTGACCAGCCACCATTCACGGCACAATTGCAAGTCTGAAACTGCTGCGACATTCCCGTGCAACTGCCTCCTCCGTTGGTTGGTGGTGGATTGGTGCATGTTCGGTTACGCGTTTTTGAGCAACCTCCTGACACACTTGAACAGCTTCCATAGCCAGTCCACGTTGACCATGCACCATCTGCCGGGACAGAAGTAATCACGTAGAAGACATTCGCAAAGTAAAACATCGTGCAGATGGTTGGCTGTGCACTCTCTATTTCATGGAGAACCCAATGCGAAGCCTATTTGACATTACTTTGGCTGTCACGCCGATCCATTGGTAACGGTCGGCGATAACGAACGAAATGAGCCAGAGCACGCTAAAATATGACCACAGACCAAAAATTCGATTTTCAGTTATTTTGTTCAAAAATGAACAAACACACCTAATGTTCGCTGTCTGAAAGTTTTGGATTGATCTGACATGTCTAAGTGTTGCTACAATGGTATTATATGCAGCACTGTTGAAATGGTGAAATTCTATGTACAGCAATGGGATTGTCATTTTTGGACACAGTTGATATGTCCCTTGGTTCATCCTTTCTGGGTCAGTTCCTCTGTCCAGGGTCTTATAGCATGAGCTGACAGGTACCCGGCCACATCCAAAATTTCTATGGCAGCTGAGCTGGGTGTCCGAAATACCTCCTGTTTGGAGTACAACTGGAGAACCGCCAGCGAAAACACGGTCAACATCTGTAGATGGCCGAAGAAGTTGGCACTCCACGTCCTCTCCATCACACTCCACCTGTACTTTCAGATATACAGTATACACTGCTGCACACAGTCTTCCTCAACATGCTGGACGTCGCACTCATATTCCCCACACCAAAGCCCATCTGCACACAGTTTTCTCCACTCGCCAGAGAGTACAGCTTTCGCTGCCTACTGCTCGTGCTAGCGATGTTCCGCATAAGGGTACTCAAATTACCAACTTGAGCAAGTTGAGGGAGCAGCAGAGTCCATTGATTGTTTTTGCACTTGCAAGTAATACTGGCATTTTCCCGGATATGTGCAGCGATGTCCATTCTGGCCAAATCATCGGCCGACTCACCTCCCAAGTCAGTGTCGATGCCAATCGCTTGCCAGGTTGTCATCAGAGTAGAATTCCTCGTCACTGCAGATCGTGGGACTACCAGCATCAATTCTTTTACACTCGATGAAAGTGTCGCCCTCAAATGACTCGTCGCTGTAGCCATCATCGTCTTCCTTCTGTTTCCGACCCGAAACCTCAAAATATTTTATCCTGCGCATGAAGTGCGAGGATGTCGTCTTCTTCCGCTCCGCAGTACATGACTACTACTAGGCTGTTCCATCGATACATCGATGACGATCAGTTTTAGGCGACTCAGCGCAACATGGAATACAAACTCAAACAAATAAACTTACTTGCAACAAAGAAATGCATCCAGAACAGTCCAGTCGACCGAGGAGAACAACAACAGCGACTCGCCTTGCACTGCACTTCGTATGTTTTGCCGCGGAATTGAAATCGCCATTTTCTCGACTTTAAAAACAAGCTGTGGTCATGTTTTAGCGCGCTCTGGCTCTACCTTGCACCGCACTTGGCAACAACATTTAAAAGACATAATGCAGTTCGAGGGATGCATTCTGCTGGCTACTGCCCCCCCCCCCCCCTCATCCCACTTGTTACAATCATCAGAACAGTTCGCTTTATCCATTTCCATAATAGCCCTATTGTTTTTTGTATTCCAAGAGTCAGGCACCTTGGGGGTGCCTGACTACTGACATTGTGTACAAGGCGCAAGTGTTATCTCGCCTGACTAAGACATGCGTCGGCATGACGGCCAGCAGTTTCGAATCCCGCTACAATAACCATTGCTCACACTTCTGGCATGACATCAACAAAGCTATCCATGAAAGTTTGGGAACGTAAAAAACGCCAAGCGCCACGTTGTCCGTAAACTAAACCATCACCAGTGATACGAATTTTCGGAAGGTATCAGTTCACGGTACAACAAACCGCGTGTGGGCCCAGATAGCGCCGTGAGTCAGTGTCGCCTATATTTATGGAATTCAATATCTGCTACAGAGCGTGGTCAGGTGGGTCCGTGAACTGGTTGGGGGGGGGGGGGAGGTGCTTGGATCCGCTTGGAAAAAGAATACCGGTCACGTGGGAACTGTTGGGGACTCAATCAAGAAGTCCTAACAGTCACCCTCTTAGACGTGCCCGGTCGCACCCAAGCGTACAATGCTTTTGTGCGCCCAGTGATGGGGTACTGCCATATTGTCTGGATGGGAGCGGCCCCATCCCATTTTTCAAGACTCGACCGTGTGGAAGCCCGGGTCATCCGCCCCATCGCCCCAATGTGTTGGCTGCCGAGTATTGCTCTTCGTTGGAAGGTTGCAGCACTTTGCCTCCTGTACAAGATGCATTGTCCGAATGCACATCCCCTTGTACAAAGGATGTGGCCACCACAGCAGCCCCAACACCGAACAGTCCACTCCACCCGTAGTACGTTCCAGAAATATAATGCTCACGCACACCAACTGGCAAATGAACTTCCAGTCTGTTCCCGAAACAACATGTGTCGAGCCTACCCTCACGCAGTTGTACCCGTCTGGAACCAGTTGCCCGCCGGAGTCGTCTCTGGTCCTTTCTGTACCAAGAACTTGCAACATATCAAAGTTGCAGCCAACCGCTATTTGACGACCAACGACTGTTCGTGGACACATGACCATCACTGAGTATCAGCATCATCTCTGCCTCACCCCAAATTTCACTTCCAAATTCCGCTCCACATACTATTCCCAATAACGTCTGTTCTTCTTTCTCTCCTTCTCCTCCTAGCACTCTCTGTCTTATCCTTCCCCTTCTTCTAATGTACTGTCCCCCCTTCTAATATTTCGTATTATGTACCTGTCACTCCTTTCATTTATCTTCTTCTTTCTATTTTAGTGCGTTTTATGTCCCCAGGCAGGCACAGTGGGATGGTCTACCACCATAATTGAGAAACAGAGGGTACCAGGTTCAAGTCCTGCTTGGAAGCGGAAGGATTTTTCCAGCGGTGCTGCGACCCACAGTTCATTGGGAACTCGTGGCCTGGCACGAGGGAAACATGTATGCAGTGAATGGGATTTTCGGTCTTTGACCACCTTGCGGTGGGTCTGATCTACTCACCTCCCACCGCTTAGGAGCTGCATCTGCGCCTTGGTCCTTTGGAGGGGTGGCGTTCCCGTGGATGCGGAAAACTGGGTCTTTGGCCGAGTCTCACGCGAACCGTGAAATGTTTATTTTTTATTTTTTTATGTCCCCATGATGTCGAGAGCTAAGGTCGGCTGAGGGCAAAAAGCCTCACCATCACTATGCTCCCACTATGCATTTTTTAAACTTTGCCTGTGAGCTGTGATCAACTGATCATCGTAAAAAAATATAAAAAAACTCCCTGATATACAATAGCCGTGACTGAACTGGTGGCAAGGGTTTTCCCAGGTACATATGTACCCGGTTGGTTGGTAATCCTAGAGCAGCCACTGTGTGGATGTGTAACTTTAGAACTGTTGTACACACCCATATGTGGCATTGACCAAAGCTGCTATCTAGTCTTCACAATGTGTGTACATTGTACCTTTGCACTGGAAACCGATACTAACTGGATGTATTATTGGCGTAAAATCCTGACGCCATCTTCCCTCAAAGGCGTTAAAGTAACACTCCAAAACTTTAACCGAATACTTAATGAAATCGTTATCTCCAACCGGTGGCGGAAAGAGAATTGCTCATATATCCAGCTCTGGGACGACTTTGTGATATGTGCAGTGCATCGTTGGAGCTTTTTCTGAGGAGTGCCTTCTGGAATACTCAAGATTGTGTACATCGGAAAACTAATACTGAAGTTATACCCGAAATATAGTACTAAATATTACATAATTGAAAAGTCGGCGAGGATAAAGCAATTTTATAAGTGCAATAAAGAATATAATAGATGCGGACATGGCTACACAATGACGAGTTCCAAGAATTTTTAAGACTTTTATTATCTTCACATGCGAAGACCCAAATACACACAATTAAGAAGCAACTTCCTTTCATCTATAAACGTTTCCTCTCCCTTCTGTTCAGGATAGTACATGTTGGAAATTTGAAAAATACCTAGCTATAATTACGTTGGTGGATAGTTAGTCATAACTTGTAACATTTTGTCCTTCTTCTTTTCACAATTATATATTATTGAGTTTTGTACCATGGAAATTGTGGGCAAACGTTATTCGATCAAGTCCAACAACTAAACCAGATGTTGAACAGTCAGATGTGCATAATGTAGCACACAACTGACAAGGAGCTCTTATAATAATATTATTATAGAGTTTGCAAAAAAAGAAAGAAAGAAAATGGTCAACATTTACACTGTCCATTTTGCGTGGGCGAAGTCCATTCCGTGCATACAATTTAAGTGAGTAGTTAGGCGTGCTTCTTGTGGGTCTCTGGGTAAGGTTATTGGTTCAATTTTGTTTTACTATTTCCGTTTGCCGATGAGCTCCCTCTCTGTCCAGATACAGTCGCCAGGAGCCACGGGCCAGGGCACCACCGTCTTGGTAGTCACCAAAGGATACAAGAGTGGCTAAGGCTGAGGCAAGGACCCAGGTGAGGGTTCAGTGTCTCTCGGCGGCACCTCCTCCTTTCCAGAGCAAATATGTAGTGTTAGAATAGGCTCCTCTGCTGTCAACATGAGTCAATAAATGGTGGCCAGGTCACTGGTGGCAACCGCACCCCAGCCCCAACCACTCACAGCACCACAGGTGATGGTGTTGGTGGTGGCACAGGAACATGGTGGGTAGTACACCTTACCCTCAGTTCCCATACTATTCACTGGCGAGCGGTACGCGAAAATCGATTTTGAATAATACAATTCTTTATAATTCCTACCACTTGTTCTTGTCTGGCCATGTCTGCATTAATTATATTCTTTATTGCACTTCTAATGTTGCATATGCCTACTTCAAAGAAGAAATCAATTTTCTGGCAATATGGGCGGATTCTAAAGGGGTAAACGTTCACTTACCAACTGGACGGTAACGTTGACACAGGTAAGAAAGTTGGTTATTGCAAGAGTAGTCACCCAGTCCTGAGAGCTCCTTGTATTGGTACCCACATTTCTGATAATCGTCATCTGTTGGTTCCCCACTGCGCCATTTCAACTGCCATTTACTTAACGATGTTGCATGGGTTAGCCATTTCCATCTACCAGTGCGTTTCTGAAGTCCTACCCATACCCGACATGTTCGATCACACCATAAGTTGGAACCTACTGTACAGGCAGCACAAGTAGTAATAGCGCTGTCGGCACATTTCCTCTCAACATCAGTCTGCACTGTAGATAGATTTCCTCCAAGTTGAGCGCAATGATTCTGAGAATCTGCGAAATTCTTTTCGTCTGTGAAGAGCTTCATCTGAACCTGCTTTCCTCCGATTGCACCACATGCTGTCCACCCTACACAATTGTATCGAAATCAATGGCATTGAAAATAATATAGGCAAAGGGTAGTTATTTTTCAACTCTGCAGTATTTCAATTGCGGGTCCACCCCAACTGCTAGCAGTTCTGCCAACACGTCCTCTCTTTCTTTTTCTCGCTCTCTCTCTATCTATCTATCTATCTTTCTTTCTTTCTCTTTCTGTCTCTCTGCCCGCTCACTCGCACACTCTCTCCGTCCCTCTCTGGCTCCGTCTCTCTCGCGTACACACACACACACACGCACACACCACACATCACACACACACACACACACACACACACACACACACAAGCACACACACACACACAAGCACACACACACACAAACACACACACACGTATACATCTACACGTGAACACATACATACACACATACAAAGAAGCCAAGACACTATGGTCGGTCAAGCTGCCCCTGCTTCTCCCCCACTCCTGCCATTCCATATGTCTCATCGCTGCCTTGCTGCTTTGTGCCGTCAAATGGTGTGTGTTTTTTTGGAATGAAATAATTAATAAACAACAATTTAAATCAAACCTTCAGCTTCAACACTATACTGCCGCTCTTTTGTCTCTTTTGTTTCTAATCAGACTCGGATGAAGAGCCAAGGATTTATAAGAAGACAACATGAATGAAGTTACACTATGTTCGCTATGCTATGTTGAATATTCACTAACACCACCAGTTACTTGACAATGAGCTCATATGGTAAGATTACAGGACGCTGACGAATGGTACTGACTCTCTTCGACAAACTGTCAATAGGATCTGGCACGTCTTTGATACGCATTGCCATAGCTTGGAAGATTCTAAGTTTAATATAACAATAACTTAGGAGGGAAGGTGAGCGCAAACAAGATAAGCATGAGCTGAAAGTCTCAGCTGGGAAGGATGTACATGTCTGTCGAAGCCTTTAATGACAAGGCAATTGGACAACACGGTCAATCAAAAATTCAAGGACGGATAGCAACATACCACGCAACTTGTGTGACTCTAAAAATTGAAAGATCGATTGGAAGGGAAGCCAAGCGAACATAACATGTGCAGAAACGAACGCCTTGGTAATGTTTCTCTTCCCCTTTCCTCTACGGATTTTTCTGATGCGTGAAGAAGGCGTTGATGCCGAGACCAATGGAAGGCGGAAACTGCGCCAACACAACATGGGGAAGGTGCTAGATACTTCGTTTATGGCAATAATGCTGCAATATGCACGTGGCTCCCTGCACGCTGCGCTCGCGCATGTCTTCACTTCTCGACCTTTGACTGCAATTGGCTACACAATAGATGTCCACAAATCACTATTCCAACTATTCCAATAGATAATGTTGCTGGCAATCCACCCTTTATCAGTGGACTTTTCGTTTACTAATGACAGATCCCTTTGGTCTGCAGCAGCTACTAACATAATATTATGCATGTGCATTGAAATTGAGTTGTTGCCACGATTTCGCACAATTGTCCCAGAACGGGATTGTGGAACGTTGCATGTCGTAGTGGTTCTGGTTCGGCATCACAAAATTCATTTGCATATTCATGCTTGTCTAATGAAGGGTTGTCCCTTGGCATACTCCGAAGACTCTTTCAGTCCGCACCCCTATATTTATTACTGTGAGGGGTGTGTTCCTGGGTAAAATAGGCGAGAAACTAGACTTGACTTAAATGTATTACAAGTATCTGTTTGGTTCTATTTTGTAGCGACGACACGCCGACAAGAGGTTAAAATTCTGGGATCATTAGGATGACTAGAGGGACAGAGGAAAACGGATATCAGCATCTTTTTATTATATTCTTGGCATTTATTGCTATACCGCGTGCAATAAGACACGGAGACAATTTCCACTACCTCTTCCCAAAGTCTACGTACCTGCACTAGCAGCAGCTAATCCCTGCGAAACAGCAATCACAAGAACAACTACGCAGGTATAACTCCGGCGTAAATCCATGTTGCAGAACACGTTGAACCATTGCTATCAAACTTCAACTTGGAACGTCACATCTCTTTTATACCAGTTAGCCTCCAGTGAGCACTACACACTGCTTGGATTCATAGTATATGGCGTGCTGTTCTCGCGTAAAGGGTAGGTTTGCGATCGAGCAGGGGTCGGAGGGCTAGTACAATGGTCACTGGTGAATCTAGTGCACCCTGTTCTCACTGGGCTGACTTCTGTAAACCGGCCATGTACACAATCAATAGTCACCACCAGTTGATAACAGAACGCCATCTGTACAATCAAATAACACCGGATGCCAGCTGTGAGTGATAGAGAAGCTGATTGTCCACAAACACCTGTTATGCGCAACTGGCGTGTGCACTACTCAGCTCTACTCAGGGGCTCCGTGAACCCCAGTCCTTTTGAAGTATGAATGTTGACACTGTATTTCTTTGCGCTTCCTCTTCAACAGTGAACCATGCCCATTTGCGGATATATTCTTTGACCATTATATGCCAAACATGAACTGCAGCAGTTGAAGCATGCTGATAACGCGACCTGGCCAGTGCTGTTTCTTCCATACAATGTACGAAGGGATGTTGTGCTCAGATGCTCAGATGTTTGTGCTCATTGTGTAATTCATCACTAATAATTTTAGTGGTAGTAGACCATGATTGAGAAACGGAGGGTACCAGGTTCAAGTCCTGCTTGGAAGCGGAAGGATTTTTCCAGCCGTGCTGGTACCCACGCCCATTGGAAACTCGTGACCAGGCACGAGGGAAGCATGGATTCAGCGAATAGGGCTTTCGGTCTTTGACCACTTTGTTGTGGGTCTGATTTACTCACCTACCACCGCTTTAGGAGCAGCATTTGCGCCTTTATCCATAGAGCGATCTGGCGTTCTTAAGGATGCGGAAAACGCGGCATCCAGCTGAGTCGAAGGGGAATCTTGAAGTGTTTAGCACCTGTTTGTGCCAGCCACGGCAAGCAAGAAGTATAGTGCTGCTCCCGCATAAATTACGTCTGCTGCCTATTCTACCATGAAATATACATCGTTCATGCATTTACAGTTATGAAACTCCAGAGTTTACAACAAAACGTAGCCCTGTTCCATTGCAAGCTTGTGTTGTCACGGTATAAAGCGCGGCTGGGAGTAAAATTAATAGCACCTTTGCTTGGAAGTAAATCATCTTACGTGATGTACTAATACACAAGTTGGAAGGCTTCTTAGAATCTCAAACGCCACACACACAATGATCTACTTGTAAGTGAATTGAATCTCAGATTTTCAGCGCAGTGTGACTGGAGTATACCGGTACATCATGTCAAGACAGGGCACCAGCTAAGTAGTTGTGTATGTGGGGAGCCGTTCCACGCCACGCATGCGATAATTTGCCCCCGCGGAGGTTTCCGGACAATTCACCACAATGAAGTGAGAGATATTGAGAGAGCTTTTTCAGTGCGAACGTTCCCGCGAATTTTCGTTTGACGTCACGAGAAGCGAAACTTCGTGCGAACGTTCGCAGCTTTGAACGGGAAAGTTCCAGGAAACGCGAAACAAACTTTCGCAGTAATTTTCGCTCATCGCGGACCAGTGGTGCACGATGAGTCACCCTCAATCCTCATTTTTGTGCTTGATCTCTACTCTTGGCTTGGTCCGCGGACGCTAGCTAACCCGTGTTGCTTCATCTCCGGAACCATCTCAAATCTCATGCCTGCTTGTCTTCTCACTGCTCAGAGGCTGTTACACCAATTGTGCTTTTTTGAATTTAAGGTGTCGACACGCCAGTTTACGGCACAGGCCAACCCGTTTGTCTGTGGGTCTCCGGCTGTGGACAACGTAGTCAAAGATTTCTCGTCTCAGGCAGTGACGCAGGGTGCCGCCCCTCCGACGTCCGTGACTCCCAACAAAAAAATAAACGGATGAAGACCACTTCTCAAACAAGCGCTCGTGGATGCGTAATTTCTTGGAGCGAAAATTAAAACCTCTCTATAGTGGCGGACCTCCTGACGGAGGTGTGCTGAAATGTGGCAGTTGAGCCTTTTTTTTCTTTTTCTTTTTTTTACAAAAAACCACACACCATTTGACGGCACAAAGCAGCAAGGCAGCGATGAGACATATGGAATGGCAGGAGTGGGGGAGAGGCAGGGGCAGCTTGACCGATCATAGGGTCTCGGCTTCATTGCAACCGAAGCGCTCCACAAAAACAAAAGATTACAGAAAATACGCAGAGGGGGGGGGGGTAGATAACTGGGGATTACGGGGAAAAGTATGCACAATAAAAAATTATCTGAGAGTCAACGAAGTGAGTAGAGGAGGGAACAGTGTTAGAGCTTTTTTCGTCTTTTTTCTTTGATTCATAGCCTGTCCGTTGCCCACTCCCAGCGGGTAAAGCGCAGGTGGGCGTTGAAACATTCTTTGAACGTCTGCAGTCCTTTCCTTGTTGGCTGGTTGAGCAGAACGCACTGCGGGAGCTGGTTCCAGACCTCCACAACAGCGTCAGGGAAGGACCGAAGGACATCATTCCGTGCTCTGGGCGGAAGAGTGGAAGTGAGCTGAAACTGGTGTGAGAGATGCTTTTGTGTGCGTCGGCTATGGCGTGATGTGTTGGTCGCTCGGGTGGAAGAAGGGTGAAAAGCAAGTCTGGGCCAGTTGAAAAGTGGAGCTTGTACAGAAAGCATAGTGCTCCGACCATTCTGCGGATGTCTAAGCTAGGGAGGTAGGCACCATCACCGATTATGTGAAGGCCACGGCGTTGGATGGCAGTGAGGCGAGCCAGAGTGATGGGTGCAGCGCTCATCCACACGAGCATGCCGTACTCCAAAACCGGGCGGACAAAGCCCTTGCAGATCACTCCACGGCACCTGGAGTCCAGCACTCGTGAGGCTTTCCGGAGGAAGCCGGGACGCTGCGAGCCTCGAATAGCCAATTGAATGATATGAGCTGTGAAGGACAGGTGTTGGTCAAACAGCACACCCAGCAGCTTCAGCCGGTCGACTTCCGGAACAACTGTGCCCTGGAATACAATCGGTGGGACCACGACTGTGTTGCGATGGTGAGAAATCAGGAGGGACAGAGACTTTGTAGGTTCAAACCTAATGTGCCAGGCCACTCCCCAGTCTGCCAGCGCATTTACAGCAAGCTGGAGTGTGGTAATATCTTCGGGTACGGCAGTATTGGTCGATATGCACTTGTACAACGTGGTGTCATCAGCATATGCAGCAAGCTGCCTGTACTTGATCCTATCACAGGCGAGGTTTTTAGCGGCCTCAACAAGCACCACGAACGACGCCCGCACTGATGTCCAAGGTCGTGGATTCTGGACACGGACTCAGAATGAGTTCTTCAACGTTCGGGTACAGTGTCATACAGAAACAAGTCCGTAAGTGATCTTCTGGAGCAACATGAGCCCCGCAAGAAAAGTGAGTATGCCGGGCGTATCAACAATGTCGACCGTGGTTCATTTAGTAGACATATACCCCTCTAGTCCTTGCCAGAGTGGGGTGGCTTGGCCCAGAGTGTACCACATTCATTAACGCGAGTATGTGGATTGCTGGCATCTGCCGTCTGCCGATCGACCCCTATGACCGGCCAATGGCCTACGTGCGGTGTCGCTTGTCCTTCGCTTTGCTCAGGGCAGCAAGAATAGAGAGGTTCTGGAGTACGATTTTTCGTGCCAAAATCCGTAGAGGCGCGACGGATTTTTATACGTCGTTTTCAAGCAGCGAAATGTTCCGGAGTACGGAACTTATGCGTTTGCCGTCATTGCCTTGGTTACGATCGCAAACACGTCACATTCCCGCGCTATGCCTTTTAATTTTGAAAAATTGTACCGAAATCAAACCCTCGCGCGCAAAATCGATGTTTCTCGTACAAAATTTGTACGTGAAAATCTTTCTGCACCCGATGACGCAAAATCTCCATACGAAACATGGTTCGTATGAAAGCCAGTCCACATGGATTCTCCGTGCCGAAAAATCGTATGGTGCACGCCTGGAAAAAATCCGTAGCGCCCATACGGATTTTTGCACGGAAAATCGTACCCCGGAACCTCTCTAATTTGTATTCGTGGTGTACGTTGTTGTTGTTAATTTTACATCGCATGTCAAACGGGCAGTTTTGCCCAATATTATGAAAGCGATGACAACTAGCAAGAAGAGTCAGAAATGAAGAGAAAATAAATAAATGTGGAAAGGAAAAGGACATATGGATACGAGTTAAGACTAACTCTCCATCACTGTAACTGGATACTATATACAGTCAGAAAGTGCAATAACTAGGCACAAAACTCCAGGCTGGGTGTCTGCCCAGTGCTGGAACGAGGGAAATGCAAGCTCCGACTCCGGACATTCAGAATCCGTTCTGGAATCGTCAGTGAGCTGTTGTCGTCCCGAATTGTATTGCAAGGCCCGCCCACAGGCATGACCACTCGAGGTCAGTTGGGACGCAACCTTCCTCTCCGCCTGGCCCACATTGCTTCTGGCGCATGCCGACCGCTTCTAGCCAGCTGCCGACCCTGGAATGGCCTGCCCGACTGTATGAAGTCCATAGTATCTGTCCGTGAATGCAAATGCATGCTAGGCGTATTTTACTTCGGTTAAATGTAATGGCTTTCGTTACCTGCTGATGAGGCTCGATAGAATCATGCTACGATGACCCGACTTGTAAATTTGAGATCCATTTTTTCTGCTCGTCTTAACCATGCCTCCCCTCATTGCTACTTCCATTTTCGTATTTTTATTTATATCTATTTTGAAACTCGGATGTCGAGCCATAAATAAATGTGGAAAGGAAAAGGACATATGGATACGAGTTAAGAGTAACTCTCCATCGCTGTAACTGGATACTATATACAGTCAGAAAGTGAAATAACTAGGCACAAAACTGACAAGAGTACTGAGACATTCGACGTCCTGACACCTAGCTTCAACACATCTCCGTAGCGCTTGTCCATCACAATGTAATGCATGAGGAGTACTGTAGGAGTTTGGCTTTCGGCTTGTACAATTCGTTTT